CTTCTAGTTAGCTTCAAATTTTCTAAGAAAAAAAATTATTAAAAAATTTTAATATAAAGAATAGAATTCTTATTGATGAAAACTTATAATCAATAAACCTCCTAAAAAATTCACTTGATTGTCATGAATCTCAATGCAAAATTAAAATTGAAAATTTTTAGAATATAAACTTTGATTTCAACCAACATAAAGTTGAACTGAACATCTCGATGAGAAGAACTCATCAACATCACCAATGATCCAATTAAAATCCAACTGAACCTAAATCAAGCATTTAGGTCCATTTTAAAACTTATAAACATTAATTGAATGACCAAATGGTCTCCAAATATTATATGCTCATAGTCAAATTGAGCCTCGATGAGACGAATTCAATGAGCATGAGATAGTTTGATTCTGAATCATTAAAGCATCAAAGTAGTAGATATATGATACATGATCAATGGAATTGATATTTATGGAGTGTTTTCAATTCTAACTAAATTTATCAAAATCTCTTCTAAATAAGACTATAAATATGATTTCATTTTCTATCTGAAGAGAGGCTCGAGAAGTGAGAAAACTAAAAAATTCTATTACATTTTTTTACGTTCATCATCAACAGCTACTACCAACAATCATCACGGCTATCACAAGACAGCTATCACAAGACTTCCATTATCAAGCTATCAACATCTAACCCTAATGTCCAGCTTTAACTGTTCATTCGTGGATACTCAATTACTATAATTCCTATAATAAAAAAATATATAATTGTTCGCAATTATTTATATTCTCAGCTTCTTCACTATGTGGAAATAATGATTTATGTATCTTTCATTATTTTGTGGATTCATTTAACTATATCAGCCCTCATAATTTTCTCCTTTTGGGTTTTTCACATAAGAAATTTTAGTTTCTTTTATGAACTTTTATTGTGTGTTCTAGACATTTGTATTATAAATCTAGACAAGAGATAGATTAAAATACACCATCACACATAAAATTTTCTAGAAATGTAAATGAACAAATTTGATAACATCTAATTCTTCTACAAGATTTGATTAAAAAGATGCATGTATTTTATGATATTATCCTAATAATTATTATTAAATATCAAGTAGTTAGTTAAAATATCCAGTTATATTATTTACCTATCTAATATATTTTTATAGATCCAAGATTGATAGTTATAAAGCAATGCATAGCAGAAATTTATATCTTATATTAGTAGATCTTAAGGATAAATCATTACAAATAATATATGATAGTATGACTCATGGATAATGAACATCTCTAAAAGGCATAATCAAATGAATATTTTTTAATTATAACAAAATACTATTTTAGTAAATATCAGTATCTTAAATTTCAACTCCCTCTCTAGTCTTATCAACAAGAAGAAATTTTAAAAAATACAAAATAACATATTCACAAACCTCAAATACCTTCATAACAAAATAGAATTCACAACCTCCTCACATCACATAATAAGTGTAGTTCTCCTTCTCTTCATTTAGGCTCATACTTTAGGTTGGGGGACCGGAGGCGGTGCAGGTGGGCCGTAATATTGCGCAGCCCGGCGAGTCCAGTAAGCCCGGCCCATTAAGTAACAGGCTATGGCCAGGATCGCCGCTAGGAGCAGCAACGGCACCGATATAACAATCACGAATACCATTCCAGAACACAGCGTCAACAGCGTACAGCGACCTGGATCAAAGAATTTCTGCCACGTGTCCTCCGTCAAGCTCAAGCGACTCTGAGTCGCAGCTTCTCTCGGATGGAAAACTGACGATCAGAGCACAGAGAAGAATTCTGTTGACTTCGTAAGAGTAAAATAAAGAAAGCAAATTCCGGTTTTTTGCAAAGTTACCCTAAGAATTTACAGAATGACAGAATTTTGCATATGTATTTGCAGAATAGGATCCGAGTCTTTACCTTATTGCTGGCGGAGACTGAAAGACTCAAACTTGGCTATATCGCAGGGCTTGAAATTTACAGAGAAGAAGCTCTTCGCTGGGAGGACAGAGAGAGAGAAAGAGAGAAGCAGGTGAAGTTTGTAGAAGAGAAGGTGAGACGTCCAGATAGGTGAATTAAAGAAGTTAAAACGACAGATTTGTCTCAGTTGGGGCTATGAATTTAGCTTTAAATTAAGATTGTTTGATTTGGTTTGGATGCGATAGCTGCTACTAGTTTCTCGAATTAACCATAAAATTACTATTTATATAGACCACTATTACGTACCTTTTTAAAATCAAGAAATTATTATGTCAGATCATTGTATCGTCAGGAGATGAATCAGGATATGTCACATCATCCAGTACATAATACAGGTACACAATAACGTAGTGCATCCTAATTCACCTTCGGATGGCGTCCGGGAGGGGTGTCAATTTGGGTTGACGGGTTGGGTTCAGGTCGAACCCGAGTTGACCTGGCTCTAAATGTGTCAACCCGAATCAGAATCATTTTTAACGAACGGGTTGGCTATTTCAACCCGAACCCGTCTCTCGTGAGTTGCCGTATTGACACGACCAGGCCCAAAATTGTCAGATTTGGCTAAAAAAAATGAGAGCCTCGCTAGCGAACTGAGCTCCCGTGGCGAAGCAGCGGCGACATCTCACGAGAAGATACGACTAAGACCTGTTAGGCTCGGGCAACAACAATGCATAAGCACTAAAGTAGTGAAGCATTGTGATGCGGTCCATTAAGCTGAGCTGGCAACCTTTAC